AGTTTAAGAACTTATTTAAAGTTGAAGAAAGAATGTCATTTGATTGAAAAATTACGCTAATAATACTTTAATTAGATGATTGTAGTAAAAACAAGTTCATATAAAAGTTAAAAAATAATTGCTACAACCAAAATAAAAATTAAAATTAAAATTATAAATTTTACTAAAAAATCTTTTTTTACTAATCAAAGTGAAATATTTTAATTAATTAAAATTTTAATTGAATTAATGAAAAAAAATTTATTTTAAATATCAAGTGATTTGGAATTGAATCAAATACATTTACCCCTAATGATTAAAAAAATACTAAAAAAATTATGTAGAGAGAGTTTTGATTGTTATTTTTTAATTTTATGGTAATTTATTTAAGTAATATAAATAAAAATTTAATATTTTAACTATTACATTTTTAAAATGGTACTATAGATATTATAAAAATTTCTAATACACGTATAATGAATTTTGTACACTTATAATGAATTTTGTTAGAGTATTTTCACTTATATAAGATTATAATTTTTGCCTTCACTAAATAATGAAGAAAAATCTAATAGACATACCATAAAGAAATTTTCCCAAAGAAGAATTTTGTTAAGGTCACCCAATACTATTTAATTTAATTATTAAAAATAGTTGACCATTAACAAAATAATTAATATTTATTATTAAATAGATTCAAAACATTTATAAATTGATATTTTCAAATATTATAATTAACTTAAGAAAAAAATTATAAATAGGTAAATATTATTTAAACTAAATAATTACTGAATGATCTTAATAAAATAGTAAGTGGTTATCATACCTAAAGAAGAGAAATGATTTTTGAGACTAAATTTTAAGATAAAAATTTAATATAATATTATTTTAATATGTGTTTATGAAATTATTGATATAATAGTTAAAATTTAATGATTTACAAATAAATTAAAGTAAATTTTGTAAAAGTATAGCTAACTACCATCTGTTTAATGAATCACTTTAACGTAGTGTTGAACAAGAAAACTTGCCTCTTCGATGTCCTTTAGGTTTTCTCGATTGTGAAAACAAGTAAAGAAGGATGTGCATTTGAAATTTAATTTTATATCTAATTATTTTACATATCATAATAATATTGTACTTGGGTCTCATTGTCCAACGGTCATACATCAGTTTGTAAGGTGCATCTCTCAACTCGAAGGTTGAGGTTCGATTCCCTTCACCTCCAAAATTATAACCTAATTCAAAAAAAAAATGTATTATAATAATTTAAAATTTCTAATATGTTAGTAGTTCGGTAAACGTTACTCTTTGAACTTTTTTTAGTGTGCTAAGGAGATGGGCTCTAATTGCTACCATCAAATTGATAAATAAAAAATTTTAGTTAGTACCAAATATGTAGTGGTTTTTTTTTTTTAATTACGAAATACTTTTATATACTTTTTTTTCAATTTTAATAATCTTAATTTTTTATTTAAGTGTTCAAATTTGTTGTCTTCCTGTTCTTTGCAATATATCATTTATTGTGTTATTATTATCTATTAAATAAAAAATTTTATTTAATAATATTTAATTAAAAATAAATGTACAATTTTATCAATTAATTATCATATTTTTATTTTATTATAAAAACCTAAATTTACTAAAACAAAAAAAGAATTTAGACAAAACCCATTCATCCCAAGCCTCCATTCTAAACCGCCCTATATAAACTTGCAAAACTACCATAAATTCCTGAAATATCTGGGCCTAAAATTTATTTCTGAAACGCTGCCGTTTGGAGGTCAGGTCAGGGTTGTAAAAATACAAACGTCACGGATGAAATCCCCCCTCGCGCCGTCGAAATCCGAAACCCCCACTGCTTCCAGATTCGCGGTGCTTTTAGAGGAAACACAAATAGACTTCAGCTACTGCCCATCGGAGAGCGAACAAGAGGCCATTGGAGTTTTTTGGAGCTAGGTTGAGGCTTTTGAAACACATGACCCACGGCTGCTGAAGCACGAGAACAGAAACAAGTTTGAACTAAGCTAAGGAACAAGAAGGGAACTGCTTGAATTTGACTGGGTAAATCATCTACACGGTATTTGGTTTGATGTTTCTGAAATGATTTGTTATATTCTTGATTTTTTAGGAATGTCTTGAGTCTGCATTCATGACTGTCAGTAATAATTTGATAGTTGGACTGTGGGGTTCGTGGAATTTGCATTGTTGAAAAAATATGGCAGTTCTTCCTGCTTGCATATTTATGGGTATGGATATGGTTTGAGTTTGGGGTCGATTTTTTGATAAAGTGTATTACTTTTGATTTCAAAGGTGTTGCATGTTCAAGGGATTAAACATATTGTAATTTGGGTGTCTATATATTAGAAGCCTCTATGCATGTTTCCTCTGATTATTATTAGCTTAATTGTTATTAACCTTTTCATGACATGTCATTTTCCTATAAATGATCTTGTTTTCTATACATAATTTTGCTTACAATCCAAAAAATTTCGAACTTTTGTGTTTGTTGAGATGCCAATCTAATGGTGTGAACCTTAATCCTGTAAAGAAACAGGAAATTATGCATTGTTGTCTGTCTCAAGGTTTGTAGCTAAGTCTTGTGTATGGTTGAGTTCTGAGAAGGAAATTTTAAAAATGTTGAGTTCAATTTTTTTAAGCTGTAAGATCAATCTTATTAAGAAAAATGAATGTCTATAGTTTCACTTTATGGGTTAGTTTGAGTCTATGGTATCAGCAAGAACCTAGTTGTGTTAGGTGATGTGTGAACTTTGAGAATGTCCATCCTTGTGTCAGTAATATGAGCCTGGTGTGCAATCATCTTTCCTGAAACTCTCTGTTTTGTACCTTGATGGTTATATTTAATATTAGAAATATATGTTTCTGCTAAAATACTTCTTCAACTCCAAGAAAACTTTGGGGAATAATGGCCATTGAGTAGATGTCTTTGGAGGAAGCTAAAAAAATTTCGTTCTAACCAATAAGCATTGAGGGTCACAATAGGGACTAAGTTCTTTTTTTGACGTCCTCTGTAAATTTATGTTTGTAAAGGCTTTGTATGTTTTTGTTGCATTGTTTTGTGCTCTTTTGGTTACTGGAGAATCATAGGGCTACGTCAAGTTTTCTGGATGATTTTCGGATCATATATTGAGTTCTTTGGATATTAGACACTGGGAGGAATCTTAGGTTGTTCTGTGATTGATCTTAAGCTTAGTGGTTTAAGAATGGGTTGGCATATTAAGTTGTTTAGGTAAAATGACCCTTTTGCCCTTATGAGTATTAAGGGTAAATTGATAAAGTTATCATGTTAATGGCATAATTTGAGCACTCCCACATCTTGATTGTGTTTTTTTAAATTCATTATTAGCTGTTGGCATGTTAATTTATCCAATTGTGAAATGTCCGAAATGCATGTTGGCTAAATTGATAAGTTTTAGACTTTTATATGTAATCCCTAAAATGAGGTTGAAGCTACTGTAGTTATCTCTCTTCTCTGCATTCATACTTGCTGCTGTTTGACTCATTGTTTTCCTAATTGACATATAATTTCTTTAAAATGATCAAACTACCCTTTGGGGTTCTAAGAGTGAAATTGAGCATGTTTTGACCTCTTTGTAATCTCTAAATCATATGCGATGGCCAAAATATAATTAATGATCTCTTTGTAATTCCTGATTTACAAAATTAGAAATCTTCCCCTGTAAATGACAAAAATGCCCATAAGAGCCTTAATGGCCTAAGAAGAACAAAATAGTACTTCAACCCCTACAGTTTAATTTGTGTTGCAAATATAGTCCTTTATTGAATAACATGTTTTATTTTCACCCTGGAAAGGGGTATCAACTTTTGCTATTTTATAGCTTTTTTTTTTTGGGGGGGGGGGGGAGGGATTGGATTTTAAGCTGAATTCTGTTTTGTTTAGTTGATGATAATGGATGTTATGTTGCTATTGTTTGGGTTTTGATATGTTCCTTTTGTACTTACCATTTAAGGGATTCAAGCCTTCTTTCTTTATATCAATGGCTTATGCACGAAGCCTCTCCACTAGAGCAACCATTATTGCTCGAAGATGCCAGCCATGTTTTGCCTACATTCTGCATGATGATAACCGAAAACATCAATCGGCAGACAGGTTTCAATCTCAACTGGGGAGTTGTGTTCAACACAGGTCTTTTGGAACTGGTTATTCCAATGCAACTGGGAATGGTGCACTTTTCCTAGAGCAGAGATGTTCTAATTTTTCTTTTTTGCTGAGCAATGGTTACTTTTCATGTCGTTATATGTCAACTACTGCTGGTGATGGGTCAGATAAGGTTGAGCTGATGAGTGATGTTGCAGAGGTTCTTAGTGATACTACAATGGAGGTAGTGGCTTCTCAGGCCCCTGTGGTGAATGAGGTTGCCATTGCTGCTGCTGATTCTTGGTTACCTGTTGCAATGTTACAGCATTTTATTGATACGGTGCATTCTTTTACTGGCTTGAACTGGTAAGTGATTCATTCTTTTTGTTTAACTTATCCTTGGTCTTCAACTGCACCATGAATCAAAAAACAATGCTTGTAAACTTCACACTCTATCCATGTACATATACACATATATACATATAATATATATATATATATATATAGAGAGAGAGAGAGAGAGAGAGAGAGAGAGAGAGAGAGAGAGATTGGTGTTCATCAACTAAGCTTCTAAAAAATTAGGAGGAAAAACATCTTAAAACTACGTCATTTCAATAAAATACAATGGAAAAGACCAAAACACTCTCATTTCTGCCTAAAAAAATGGCTATTTTAGTCTTTTTAATGGGAGTTTATTAAAACAACATTTTTCCTCCTAATTTTTTAGACACCCAGCTAACAAATTCTTTTCTCATATATATAAGGGGTTAGTGCTTATCTGCCTTACCTCTTAAAAATTAGAGAGAAAATTATCCTAAAACTATCATTTTAATAAAGCACTATGAGAAAAGACCAAAAATAGTCTAATTAATGCTTCAAAAATAGGGAGTTTTAGTCTTTTTAAATGGAGTTTATTGAAATGATGTAGTTTTGGGATAATTTTCCTCCTAAATTTTAGGAGGTAAGGCGGATGGGCACTTTTGCCTATATATAATATATATATATATACATATGAATGTATATATGCATAAGATTAGTGTTTATTAGCTAGACCTCTAAAAGATTATGAGGAAAAACACCCCAAAACTACTTTGCTTCATTAAAGGACCCTGGGAAAAAACCAAACAGTCTTATTCTTGCTCCAAAATAGGTTATTTTAGTCTTTTCAATGGGAGTTTAATGAAATGACATTGTTTTAGGTTGTTTTTTCTCAATTTTTTAGAGGTCTGATTAATAAGCACTAATCTCATATATATACACACTTATATATGTACATATCTACATAAATACATACATATGTGATCATAGAATTTATGTTGATGTGAAGATAATATTCACAGTGACCCCTTTCCTTTTTTTTTGAACTATTTATCTCTAGAAACTGAAGGACTGAATCAGTTTGTCACAATACAGTTAGCGACTTCTTTCTCTGTATTTTGTGGCATATCTGCATTAAAAAATTGCTGAATTGTGAGAGGTGTCTTACCTCTCATGGTTATTGAATAAAATTTTCCCATCTGGGTAGGGCAGGGTCTGGACCTTGTTTTATATATCCTTAGGTTTGTCTTTCTGTTATAGCCTTGCATTAGAAATTCTATTAAAAAAATTCTTAATGTTGTCTCTTTTTGGTTTTATTGAATTCATGACCCATAATGGTTTCACACAGAATTATCCTCTGGCTTTGTATTTCTTATGTGCTCAAAGCATTGATGATACCCTATTCTGTTTAAATCTCTTGACCTTTGTTCCCTTTTATTACAGGTGGGCTTCAATAGTTGTAACAACTCTTTTGATTCGAGGAGCAACCTTTCCACTTTTAATAAATCAGCTGAAATCAACTGCAAAACTGACAGTGTGTCACTTTGCCTTTTCTGTTTCTATTTTCTTGCTTGCATTCTTCTTATTTGTATAACTGCTTCTTTGGATGTGTGCCACAATTCCAGCTGCAAGTTACAAGTAAATATATTATGAAAAGTATCTAAATTTTAATAAATGTTATATAATTTGATGCTTATATGAGGGAACCTCTGTATACCATGAAGCTGCCAAATGCTATATAGCCTAATGCTCATGATGACACAAACTTGGTCTGGGACTTCCTTCATTCTTCTGTTAATAAAACAATGAAACTGAGCCCCTTTTTTTTTTTTTCTTTTTTAATTCTATGAAACATTCCCTTTGATAATTTTATAAGGGAAGAAAGAATATGTCTGATATAATGAGAAACCATCATGTGTAATCTTATGAGCATGAACAAACAATAAGCAACCTATATCTTTATTTTTCAAATGTTTTTTCTTCACACTAGTGGCTTGCATACCTGCAGGTCTCTCTTTTTTTTTTTTTTTTTCTTTATGACATTGGATTCTCTCAAGTATACCATTCATTTTCTCATTCTTTAATTTTTATTTGGTTTGGTTCTAGATCTTAAGTGATTTGTTCTATTTTTCAGCTAATGAGGCCACGCATGGAGGAGGTCAAACAGAAGATGGAAGAAAAGGTCTAGTGCTTGCTTCTCCGTAGATGAGCTGTCATGTGTTAAGCCTTTTGCCTTCTACTGAAACCCTTCTTTTTGGGACCATTGTCTCAATAATATTTGAAGCACATTTAATTTCCTTTGATTTGACAGGATATATTAATTATCTAGCCTTCTCTAATTTTCATTTTAGAAAATTTCTCCATGGTCTGCTCTGGAACATGTATTTGATCAAAACTACCACATAATTATTTCTAACTTCAGCTAATCAGTTCTACACAACCATCTTGAATTAATTATTTTGTTCTCTATAAATTATGTACGGTCCAGAAACATCGAGGCTGTAATTTTATAACAATAGATTTTTCTCTTATTTCTGGATGAGATTCTTTCATAGTAACAAGTTTTCCACCCTTTTTTTTTTTCAGGGCATGGATCCAACAGCTGTGGCTGAAGGTCAAAAAGAAATGAAAAAGATTTTCCAGGAGTAAGCAACTTTTTCATGTTATTTAAGAGCTTATTTGGGTTTTAATCACTGGGTGTCTTTTCAAGCTTGTTGCTTTGTCACTTGAAGTTGTGTTTGAATTAAGACAAGTTTGTATGCTTGTTTAGGGTCTATTGGCTGGCTCGGTTGATAAAATGTATTGAATGCTAATAAATTCCAGCATTCCCTCACTAAAATCAATTGATTGGCTGTTCATGCTCTATCTCTTTGTTTTCTGGATTATATGCCTTAATCTGGGGATCCATTTTAGCAACCTCCAAACAAGGTCAGGTCTTGGTATTTATGTCATAGGTAGTAGGAAGGTGCTGCTAGTGGAAATTTTTAAAATTTTATTGTCTACCACCTTTAGTTAAAGTATTTGAAGTTTGAACAGGGTTTTATTCCTTATGAATGAGCTAGTGGAAGTTTTTAAAATTTTTTGTCTACCATTAGTTGAAGTATTTGAAGTTTGAACCTGATTTTATTCCTTATGAATGATGCTAGTAATAATTCATTTGTTGCAATAGTGAATTTAAGATATTACTTCAATTATATTATTATATGAGGAGGGATCTATTTACACACAATTCTTATACACCACACTTACGTAAAATATCAACCATTCATCTCTCCACTTTCAATAATTGAGATTTATCATGATTTTTTAGATGAAAATGATAATTATCTTTAATAAATGTTAATAAATTTCAGCCATTGAAAGTGGATGGATGAATGGTTGAGATTTTGTGTAAATGTGATGTGTAAGACTTGTGTGTAAGTGAATCTCTACTCTTATTATATATGTGTAACTTTGATTGGCATTGTCTTGACATGGTGCTTCAGATAAAGATTAAGTTCTAAACATCGTTTTACATTGTTCTCTTCTCCATTCAAAATTTTTTGCAGATATGGTGTGACTCCATTTACCCCATTGAAAGGCCTCTTTATTCAAGGGCCTATCTTCATCAGTTTTTTCCTTGCTGTAAGATAGATTTCCTTTAATAAGGTTCTGCAAATGACTCATTATTATTTTTTTTTTTGGTGGCCAAAGATATGACTCCTTGTTTGATTTTTAGAATCAAAATATTTATTATTTTATTTTTGGTTGCCTAATTTTCCCACCCCAGATTTCAAACATGGCTGAAAAAGTTCCATCATTTAAAACTGGTGGAGCATATTGGTTCACAGATCTCACAACTCCCGACAGTTTGTATATATTGCCAATTGCAACAGGACTGACTTTCTTAATCACAGTAGAGGTAATACTTCTGTACATACAAATGTGATCAATAACTGTGTGGAGCATTATTATCTCAATATATTCAAATTTTCTAGACTGCATTTTTTTTTTCTTTTTATATTGACTTTAACTCACCCTTAAATTAACTGATCTCTATTGTTTCTAGTGCAACATGCAAGAAGGTATGGAAGGAAATCCTGCAGCTGGCACCATGAAACAATTTTCTAGGGTCCTTGCTGTTCTGACAGTTCCATTTACAAGTACTTTCCCAAAGGTAGTGTTTCAATTTATCTTTATAGGGCACCACTTGTCACTTGTGGGAACCATGTTGGGAAAGAGATCAGAATCATCCCCTGACCCCTGATCCCCTTCATGCACACAGACACATGCCTAAAAATAGAAGTTGCAAAAATGAAGTTAACGTGTTCCCGGTTCTTTTCCTTTTAGCTTGTTAGCTTGTTTAAATGTGAGAAAACCCGTTTCACTAGCAGTGAGTAATTTTGTGTTGCTTCTCAATGACTCTTCCTAATGCTAGGATACTGACTAACTTATGAGCACTTAATCTATGTATGCAGGCTATATTTTGTTATTGGATCACGTCAAATTTGTTTTCACTTGGCTATGGACTAGGTAAATGTTTCTCTTCTTACAAAGAATTAAACTTCATCTTCTATGTATATTAATATCCCCTGATTCAGAAAATTTAGTGTCAAGTGCTCTCCATTTTTTTTTTTTTAATTTTGCTGATTGCTCTTATTTTTTCTTCTGCAGTGCTTAAAGTTCCGGGAGTAAAGAAGGCTTTAGGTGTTCCTGATATACCTGTGCCGCCACCAAATGCCCAGCCACAGCCTTCTTTCAATCTTTTCTCTGCAATAAAAAATGCCCAGACGGCCAAACCTGAGCCTACCTCGTTACCTATCGAATCACCAAAAATTTCGAACCAAAGAATATCTTCTTCTTCAGTAGTCAGTCAGAGACTTAGAAGTTTAGAGAAGCAAGTAAAAGGAAGGAAGAAGAACAAGAAGATGTGAGCCAGTTTTCCACTTGGAACTTTAAATTATCGTGAATTTGCAGGGATCAGGTTAAGGATAGTCATAGTATATAAATTATAATGGCTAATGTTTACGAAGGCTAAAATTTATATATACTATATTTGTAATATTTTTGTTAAGCAGGGAATTTGGCCTGCAGAAAGGGAGTTAGAAATTATTGGGAAACATTTCTTAATTACTCTATTTAATAAAAAAATCATTACCATTGGTTTATTTTATTTTAAAAACTTCATCACTGTTTTTTTTTTTTTTTATGGACCACTTGATGTTCAGAAGCTCACTGAGCCATTGATTAATCTGGGTTTGAACCAGGTAGAACTCAACAGGCAGCAAAACTCTTCCTCATGAGTTTTAACAGAGTTGTATTCTCAAGGTTTGAAATTATTTTATCATTGTTTTGTTAAAGGTAATTTAACAATGGGAAGAGATAACCATATTTGTAATATTTTTGTTAAGCAGGGAATTTGGCCTGCAGAAAGGGAGTTAGAAATTATGGGGGAACATTTTTTTTTTTTTAAATATATTATAATTATTTACAAGTTAATTGGGAGGTGGGGGAAATGGTTTTTGTAGGGTTAAATGTTTTATTTCCTTTGAGTTGACCGTTTTTATTTCAGGTTTTATTTTCCTTGGCTTGAATTGGCCCTTTCTTGGGGAACCTTTTTTTTTTTTCTTTTTTTTATTAAAAAATCATTACTATTGGTTTATTTTATTTTAAAAACTTCACTGTTTTTTTTAAAGGTAATCCAACAATGGGAAGAGGCTAGACTGCAATTTCTCGATTTGAACCTAGGATCTCATGCGTTTCACCAAGGCGGTTTGTTGCAATTTTATCACTTCTGTTAATCATCATTGGCTCTTATACTCACGATCTTAAGAATCTTTTTGATGATAATTTTTTATTTCTTTTTTTAAACACTTACATGAATACAGTGATAAAACACAGCACAATTCTAAAATCGGTCAATTTAGAATTGCTTGGAATCTCATATATACTGTACAACTCACACACACGGGTTGAGATAATTTTTTATTTCTATCGATCAATTTATGTGACATCATGTCCTCTATGTTATATTCAAATAGATAAGAGTTTAAATTTTGAAAAAAAAAACATATTAGTTTTAATTTTAAAAAATAATTAGAGTTTTAATAATAAATTATTTTGTTTTATTTAATTAAAATTTAATTTAAAATTTAAAAAATTATTTTATTAAATATTAATATATTAAAATATATAATGAATTATTATTATTATTATTTTGACAGTAAGAAACTTAAGTTAGTTAATGTGTTAGTATTTGTAGTGTTAGTAGAGAAGTTCGAGCGCTTGGAGAGGATGCAATCCATCGGCTGCCCATTTGGCTAGCAGTGGCCACCATTAGGACACAAAGGGGAATGCAATGAATTTTTAAATTTAGATATCAACATTTAACAGGATTAGATTTCAATTCTAAATGTATTAAAACTCCAATTATTTTTGGAAATTAGGCTAATCTCTTGAATTTTTATGTTAAAAATTTTAAATTTGAGTCTTAACATAGATAAGATTTTAAAAATATAAGAATTATTTCATATTATATAATTTAATATTTAATGTATTAAAAATATATAGTCACAACATAATTAGAAAATTAAGGTGAGTATTTTTTAGTACTAAATTAAATTTGGAATTTAACTTGAAAATTTTTTAGATATAACTTTTTTTAAATTTGGTACTTACTAATTATTTGAGGATTTATATTTTATATCTAACCCAATGGGAAATGGGTAAGCTATGAATATAATTGGATACTTGTTAAAATATTTTGTTGCAAATTACCATTCAAAATAAAATTTTAATAGAATTTTTATGTAAAAAATTGAAATATAGTTAAGTAAGTAAATACATATTAAGAAAATTCAAACTAAGTTATCTACTTAACCAAATAATAGTAAAGAATGAGAAATAAATTAATTAAATTATAAAAAGAGAGGAATCAAGCAAAATCCTTTTCCAAACACAAACAAAATAAAAATCATTAATTTATACCCGGAAGGGACAATCCTAAATTAAATATTTCCCTCCCAATCGCTAAATCCAAATCAAAACTCAAAATCAATTCTACAAAAAACAATGACAAGTAAGAAATAGATTATTATGCGCCTGACCGTTGAGGTCTAGTGGCATTAGTCACAGGTGCATTCTTCTCCGGACAGGGTTCGAAATCCGCTCCTTGCAAAATATGTTAAAAAAAAAAAGAAATAGATTATTATAATAATTGATTTTAAAAATAATAGTAACTATTATTATTTTTTGATTGTCAATAATATTTCATTAAACAAAATATAGTCACCAATATAGAAACAATCAACTTAAATCTGAAATGAGCAGATAAAAAATACGAGGATAAGTTGGAATCCATCTGTTTTCTCTAAAATCTTCTCCTCATGACTGCTCATGGTAGAAATTGTTTAAACGCACTTGCTTTGCTCAAAGAAAGAAAAAATGATTTTTGGCGACTCTTGCTTCTTTCAAGTTTAAGAACTTATTTAAAGTTGAAGAAAGAATGTCATTTGATTGAAAAATTACGTTAATAATACTTTAATTAGATGATTGTAGTAAAAACAAGAGTGCATTTTCATATAAAAGTTAAAAAATAATTGCTCTGAAAGAACATTAAAGACTTCCTACATCTAGGATCACAATAAAATTAATTTGTTAAGTAAAATAAGTAGAAATAAAAAGAGGGAGAAGGAGTGCATGATAGAAATAAACAATGACGTAAAACTAAAATAACAAAAATGCATTCAATTAAAGAGTGCTAGAAATCTTGAAACTTAACTAGAATTGGAAATTAAGAATACTAATAGAAATGTAAATTAAAACAGGTAGAAATGTAAAGAACTAGCCATTGATAAAAATGAAATGAATCTAAGATCCTTATTTGAAAGCTTAAAGAGAATTAATTACAACTAAAGGTTAAAACATAAATTTGCTAACAAAATAGAATCTAAAGCTTGACAACTAAATAAATTGTAAATTACAAATAGAAAAATGAAATGTGTTGGTAGAAGAAGAACAATTATATTAAATTTAACTGCTAGAGTTAATTTAACAAAGAACAACAAAAACAAAGAACAGCAAAAACAAAGAACTTGTTGAGTGTGTTGAATCTTTTCTACACTAGGAAGATTGTCGCAAAGTCATTGTAAGAGTTATCTATAAACTAAGCTAGCATTAGACTAAGATATATTGAAGTGTTGATGTTGTTGAAAGGGGCAAGCCTATTAAACTTATCTTGAAATCTTGTATTTATAGGTCTTTATCACTCAAGCTATTGGTAGAAATTTGATTTGATCATGATTTTCTTCAATTGCTCCATTATCATACTTGACTAAATCAAAGGAATCTCAATAACTTTAAATCCTTCTTTACAAAATGGATTTTTGCCATGTGCCAATTTGTTGCCAAGAACAAAATTTTAGTTGTCAAAAATCTCTAAAATTAAGCTTGTTGAAATCATTTCTAATTTTTTTCAACTAAACTAAACAATTCTACACTATATCAGCACCTTCCCCGATTTTATGGAGCAGCTAATTTTTTTTCTTTGACTTTTATCATGTGTCAAAAATTCATTGCACCAAAATTTCTTTTTACTATGAACTGCATCACATCGAATCATGGCCATTAATCATATTTGAATTTATAATTGTATGGAAAAAAATCATGGCCATTGGATCTCCATTTGAAACACATCATTAACTTGACTAAATCAAGAGAATCTCATTAACTTTAAATCCTTCCTTACAAAATGAATTTCTGCCAGGTATCAATTTGTTGTCAAAAAACAGAATTTTGGTTGTCAGAAATCCCTAAAATTAAGCTTGTTGAAATCATTTTTAATTTTTCTCAACTAAACTAAACAATTCAACATTATATCAGCACCTTCCCTGATTTTATGGAACAGCTAATTTTTTTTTTTTTTGATTTTTATCATGTGTCAAAAATTCATTGCACCAAAATTTCTTCTTACGATAAACTACATCACACCAAATCATGGCCATTAATCATCTTTGAATTTCTAATTGTATGGAAAAAATCATAGCCATTGGATCTCCATTTGAAACACATCATTATCAAGAAAATTATCAAAGGTGATGTAAACACCACCTTTACTCTGGGCATAATCCTATTGCACCTTGCACCAGCACATGGGCGACCTTATTAGCATCTCGCCTAGCATGGCTGTAATGGACATGGTCAAGCCCAGATGCAACACTAAGAATCCTACGCATCAACACACCCATAAAAGATAAGAGAAGTACTGGGTTCTAAAGCCCATGAATAGCACACAAAGAATCAATTTTAATAACAAATTTCCAGTAAAACCAAACTTTCAAACTTAATAGCTTGTTTCAAAGTTTTAGTATTTGAGTTTAGTTGATTAAGAGTTTGACTTTTATTAATGATTTTAAAAAAATTCCCTTTTCTCCAAAATTCCTCCATGTTAAAAAAAAAAAAAAACAATTTCCTGTGACCCAAATCAGCAGCAAAACAAATACCATGCAATAGAGCAAAAATCTCCACATGAAATGCAGCCGAACCCCCATTCAGAAGGGCCCGCAAACGAGTCAGCACCCGACCCCTATGATCTCGTATCACACAACCAACTCCCCCTGAACACATTTGACTCCTCAATGCTCCGTCCACATTAACTTCGATGGATCTTGCTTCACCGAACTTGTCCTATTGATAAATGAAAGAATATGTGCTCAAACCCGCACTAGAAGGGGATTTCCATTCCTGAGTACGTGGATATTAGTTCAGTTTTATACCGTAAAATGTCAGATATATACACATAAAGGGGTTGGTTAAAATATCACGTCGATAGATCGGGTAAGGCGAAGCAATTTTAGTGAAGAAGGGTAGAACCAATGTCTAGCTAGTTTTGAAATTAATTGAAAGTTTTGATTCCTTGACTTTCAAATGTATTTTTTTTCTATTAACTGCTTAATTGTGGCGAGCAAATTGGGTATGGATATATTTGGCAATAGAGAAATTCTTTGTTTGTTTTATTTTCTGTTGATTTACAGGTGCTTTTGCTTCATTATAAAGAATAACAAAGTTTATATCAAGTTTAAACTTTGGGGGCGAAAATATTTATATCAGTAAATAAAAAATAATAAAATTTATATTCTCATTTGCACCTATACTCAAATTTTG